GCACTGTTACACTAGTGAGCATGTCTTACCAAGCTGGTTCTTTATTGCTTCTCTCCGGGCTCACAGCTAGGTATCACTGCCGATTACTTTTCTCTTCTGCAGCATGCATTTCACCTTCCAGCACTTTGAAAGCTGGCCAGTAGGGAAGAAGCTTCCCAATTGACTACCAGCTGACTGTGTTCTACGTCTCAAGTATGCATGATTAAATTTAAACCTTGTAGCAGATGACTTGAATGCTATAATTGTCCTAATTTCTCAGATACAAAAATGTATCTCAGTACTGAAGCACTTAAATAAATTTAACATAGGCGTGCTGAAAAACTATGACTTGACCCATCATTTTTTTCTAGCTCATCAAATTAATATCACTATCTAAAAATAGGAAATATTCATCTGTTCAATAACACTGTGTAAATAATAATAAAAGCATAAAATACAGGGGGTCCAATGCCTCATATGAAAATTTCATATGTGAATTTTCTTTCTGCTGTGATGGTATATGTACTTATAACTAGCAACCACCAGGCAGCAGTTTAGTAAAACATTTCGGAATTGGCTTACTAGATAATAAGAGGAAGTAGAATCTTTGAGGTGGACTAGGGAGCTGAAAAGTAGCTGGCAGCAGGACTCCAGACATTCGGTGGAACTTATAAATGTGCAGTTGGATGTCCTAATTTTTCAGATGAGAAAGTTAAAGCTCAGAATATAAAAGATGGTTTAAAGAACAGCAACGAAAAGTGCAGCTTGATCCTACCGAGGATCAGTAGCATGGGCTGAACTGTCATGTTAGAACTATGACCTCAAAGACCCTGTGATGGGAATCTGAAGATTTCGCATGTTAACCACTCTAATGAGGTAATGTCCAAGCCAATTCCTTTCATGGGTTTTATGTTGAGATGAAAATAATGAAGTGATCATCCTATCAAAAATGATAACCAGAAATTCATAAATTGGCTATAAAAGGATTTAGGTACAAGAATATTTATTTGGTGGTTATCTATCATGGCTAAACTGTAAGCTATCCAAATTTCTAACACTAAATTATATCACATTATACAATCTTTAAAAATAACTGTGTGGGTTTCTAACAATGGATAAAGAAAGGAAGATAATTCATATAGAAAGGAGCAAAAGTGAATTGCAAAATGGTAATTACAAAGATTAATTTTAGAAACATTGGTAAATAAATGTTTAACTTAAATTTTGTGAGGGTTTTATTTTTATTTTAAAATAACTTTTGTTTTGTTTATTTTGAGGCGGGGTCTCCCTGTGGCCCCAGCTGACCTAGAACTTGCTATGTAGACCAGGATGGATATCTCCTTAAGATGTTTCTCCCAGATGTGTCGCTGGTGAAGATTTTCTCCCACTCTGGATTTTCTCTTCACTTCCTTGGTTGTTTCTTTTACTCTGCAGATGCTTTTGAGTTTAATGAGATCCCACTTGTTGAATCATTGACCTTAATTCCTGCTAACAACTAATGCCTGATTTAGAAAGTCCTTTCCTATACCTATATTATGTAGGGTACTGCCTATGTTCTCCTCTAACAGTTTCAGAGTTTCAGGTTTCACACTGAGGTCTTTGATTCATTTGGAGTTGACATCTGTGCAAGACAAAAGATAAGGGTTTAGTTTCATTCTTCAATAAATGGAAATCAAGTTTTACCAGCAACATTTGTTGAAGACGCTCTCTTTCCTCCAGTGAGTGTTCTTGGCACCTTTGTCAAATATCAGGTGGATGAAATTGCATGCACTCATGTTTGGGTCTTCAATTATATTCCATTGATCTGTGTGTCTGTTTTTGTGTCAGTACTGTGCTGTTTTGATGACTACAGCACTGTAATACAGTTTGAGTTCTGGTATGGTAAGGTTGCCTGATAGGCATTCTCCTGATAGTTTCCTTTGTTGTACAGAAACTTAAATTACTTTCTCTCTCCCTCCCTCTCCTTTTCCCTCTCTCCTTCTCTCCCTCTCTCCCTCTTTCTTTCTCTTAGTCTCCCTGTAGCCTCAGCCGTTCTAGAACTCATTATGTAGACCAAGTTGGCCTGGATCTGCCTGCCTCTGCCTCTCAAGTGCTAGTATTATAGGCATGTGCCTGGCTTAGTGTATAATTTGACGTTAAAAACAGCACATATCCACACAAGCATGTTGTCATTGTACCTCTAAAAAGGTTTATTATGGATTATAATATTCTTTTTGCAGTTATACTTTTTTATTTTGCACTGTTTATTGAAACAGGGTCTCATACTGTTCCCCAGGCCTGCCTAGAACTAATGTGTATCCCAGGATGTCCTCAGACTCAGATCAGTCCTCTGGCTTCAGCTGGTTCCAAGTGCTAAAATTAGAAGTGTGCTTACACCTGGCCTTTCACTTTTTGATTCTTTGCGCAGAAAATGTTTTTATTTCAATCAGAGGGAAAAAGAAAAACAGCACAGAAAGACAGACATTTTATGTTGGAGGAGCATTAAGAAAATAGAAAAAAAAAAAAGAAATGAGGTGGCCACAATCAGAAGAAATGAGGGATGCAGTGGTTATGTTTTTAACACTTTATTTAACAGGTGCTAACTAAGTGAAATGCAAAGAAAGCACTCAGGGCCACTCACATGAGTGTTAAGATAACCACTACATCATAAATAACTCACCTGTGGCTACACCACAGACAACAATGACTTCTCCAGCAGCATCTCTAACTACTTTAGTGCCCCTGGGTTGGACTGGTACCTATGAGCCCTTTCCCCATCTATGATTGAATATATAAGGACTCAGTCTTGAGCAGATCTTGTGAATGCAATTACAACTATTGTGAATTTATGAGTGCCATGGCCATGCCATGCCCATACAAGAGAATTTCATGGCACTTCTCCCTATGGTCTTACATGATTTCCACTCCCTCTTCCACAGTGCTCCCTGAGCCATGGGGGGGGGGTGATATAGGTTCCCCACTTAACGCTGAGCACTCCAAAGTCATTTGTTCTCAGCACTCTGACCAGGTCTGAATCTCTGTATTAACTGTTGTTTGCTGCCAAAAGAGGCATCTCTGATCAAGGCAGAGAGCAGCACTAGTCTATGGGTATAAAAATAAATATTTAGGAGTCAGTTTGACATGTCTGCTTGGCAAAATAAAATGGAAAGTTCATTTCTAGTGACTATGACTTGACTTTCCATAGGTATTTGACTTGCCAGAGAAAGGGCTTAATGGTTAAGACCATGGTCTGCTCTTCCAAAGGACCCAGGTTCAATTCCACAGGACTTTGACTAGTTCTACCAGTAGGTACATCTTGCTTAACAAATTGTGTGGGCCTCTCCCTCCCCTCATGGGCTGTTGGCCACCGACCCATGAGAACAAAGGGAGCAGAAGTGACTAATGGGGTCAGGACGGCCAGTGAGCATGGATGGAAAAAACCTTCCTGGGAGTCAGATTCAGTGATACAGCTCCGATTATTCAGTGGGGGTCAGGGAAAAATATAGTGTGGAGGCAGCAGCCAAAGCTTCAGCTGATAGGTGTTCATAGTATGCTTTATTTACATGTGGTAGGGGGATCCTATCATCTGGCTATAGGGAAATGCCTAATTATCATACAGAAAAAAACCTGGGGGCAGTTTTATTGCAGGTAACTATGCCAAAGGTCATGTTCCAAATAAGGCTATGCATCCTTGCTTGGAGGCACTTTCCAGATAAGGCAGGCAGGATGCCCCTGCTGAGAAAGGAGTTGACCTTAACAGCAGGGTTCCCCAACAAAATTGGTATTGTAGCATGCAAAGTTAAAAGCTGGGAAGAACAATACTGGCTTGTCTCCCCCAGCGGTCCACATTGCAACTTCCATCATTATGAAGGCTAGACAACAGGGAGGATCTTCCAGCTCAGCTCCACGATGGTTTCTGTGTTCTGCATCTAAGATGGGTGGAGTCTTCAGTCACAGTGTCTCAACAACCAGCCCTGGTGGGTGACCAGGGGCAATAGGTGCAACCTGTAATGTCTGAGGAGCCTCTAGCACCCTTCTGGCCAATCACATCATGGGAAGTATCCCACACCTGGCATTGGAATTTTCATATAATAGCCCCATGATTTCTGGGATTGCCTTGGCGTTTTCTGCTTTCATATAATTTTTTAAGTTTGGATTTCTCTAAGTCTGTGAACAATAACGTTGGAATTTAGATGAGGATTCTATTGAATTTGTATGTTTCTTTTAGTATGATGGCCATTTTCATAATATTAATTCTTCTGGTCCCTGATCATGGTTAGTCTTTTCATCTTATAAGTGTCTTCCTTAAATTCTTTCTAAGTATCTGAAAATTTTCAGTGTGTCCTTAGTTGGGTTTATTCCCTAAGTTTGTTGTAGGGGTATTGTGAATGGCATTATCGTCCTGATTTCTTTTTCAGTGTGTTTATTAGTGGTATATAGGAAGGCTACTGAAATTTTATTTTATATCCTGCCACTGTTTGTTCCCTCTTAGTTTTGTACCTTGCCACATTGCAAAAAGTATTTATCAGCTCTAAGAGTTTTCTAGTGAAATATTGAGGGTCTCTGATGTATAGACTCATATCATCAACAAACATAGATTCTGTAACTTTGTCTCTAATTTGTATCCTTGGAAAAAGTAAATTCTTAATCTTTTCAGGTCACAAATCCCAGTTCTCAGAGTGTGACTCAGAACTTTAGTGTACTTTTACTTGAGAAAATGAAACTGGGTAAATGAGAAAGAGCAAAAATTTAGTTTAATGAGAAGAAATAGAATTTTATGAATGAAAGGAAGCTTTGAGATTTTTACTCAATCATCTCCTTCATTATTCAGAAATATGATACCATGTCTACATAGGACTTTGACCTTCCCAAGATGATAACAATACTGACTTTCACATAGAGGATCACATGTCATAGCTCATCTCCCAAGATAAGGCACTAGCACTACTGAGAATGTATTGTCAACCCATTTTCACAATACTGGCCTAATGTGATTTTTCTATGTTCCTCAGGAGCCCTGAGCCCAACCTGCAGCATTGGTCATGGGAAATTGGAGCACAGTGACTGAATTCACCCTGATTGCCTTCCCAGCTCTCCTGCACATTCGAATAGCCCTCTTTGTGGTTCTCTTGCTAATGTACACAGTAACAGCAGCAGGAAACATCATCATCATCTCTCTAATATGGATTGACCCTCACCTACAAACACCAATGTATTTTTTTCTCAGTAACTTATCCCTTCTGGATATTTCATATACCACTTCTGTCACCCCAAAGCTGATAGCCTGCCTCCTAGCACAGAAAAAGACCATATCATTTGCAGGCTGCATATCCCAAACATATTTCTTCTTCTTCCTGGGGACAGTGGAGTTCATCCTCTTGGCTGTCATGTCCTTTGATCGTTATGTGGCTGTTTGTATCCCATTGCGCTATGCTGTCATCATGAACAGCAGAGTCTGCTTCCTGCTGGTTCTGGGCTGCTGGGTGGGAGGCTTCCTCTCTGTGTTGGTACCAGTTATTGTAGTGGCACAGGTACCTTACTGCAGAAAAGAAATTAATCATTTTTTCTGTGATATTGGCCCTCTTCTTCAAGCAGCCTGTGCAGATACCCATTTTATAGAGAAGTTGAACTTTATCCTGTCTGCCCTTGTCATCCTGAGCTCCCTTGGATTCACTCTTGGGTCCTACACCTACATCATCTCTACCATCCTGCGTATCCCCTCAGGAAAAGGACGGCAAAAGGCTTTCTCTACCTGTGCTTCTCACATCACTGTGGTCTCCATTGTTTATGGGAGCAACATCTTTGTGTATGTGAGACCCAATCAGAATAATTCACTGGGTTTTGACAAGGTAGCTGCTATTCTCATCACCGTGGTGACCCCTCTTCTGAACCCTTTCATCTATAGCTTGAGGAATGAGAAGGTCAAGGAAGTCCTAAGACACACAATCAACAGGCTCATTTCCTTCATGCTAAGGAAAACTTGAGAGAGTGATTGACACATCACACAACATTCTTACCATCAACAAGTTCATTCTCCATGACAAGCGTGAAGTTAAGGAATTTCATTTATTTTTTAAAGCATTGTTATTGAATTTTTGTGAATTTCACACAAAGCATCCTAATCATGATTATATCTGCTCCCCCATCCACAGCCCCAGTGGCCGCCCACCAGATTTCATGCATTCTGTCATATATATTAAGGCCTATCAAGTGAAGTTAGTGTACCCATATGTCCCTCAATGCAAGTTCATCCACTGGTGTCTAGGCAGCCTTTCTAGAGTCTGCCCCTTAAAGAAGATCAACTCTTACTTACCTAGCAGTAATCAATTGCCAATAGTTCCTTGGCTAAGGTTGAGGCCTGCTGCCCATTTCCCCAGTTCTATGTTGGATTTTTATCTGATTGGATTTCAATGGGTCTTGTGCATGCTGACACCATTGCTGCAGGTTCATATAAGCAAGGTCCCAGGAGCCTGTAAGACTCTCTTTCCATATGGTCATGCACCTCCTCTCTTGGCTCTTAAATTCTTTCTGCCACCTCTTCTACAATGGTCCCTGAGGCCTGTATGGGTGAAGTTTAATACAGGAATTCTGTCCAAGGACTCACACTCTGCAGACTCTTATTCTCTACACCTTGGCCATTTGTGAACTTTTGTGTTCATGGCCCTCTGTTGCATGAGGGACCTTCACTGATGAGAGTTGAGAGATGCATTGGTGTTCTCTCTACCTCTTGTTCCACTATGTTCCATGAGCCTTAGGTGTAGAGGTTCCATTGTAGATGTGTCACTTATGGTTGGGCATCTCCCAGACACTTATTCTCTGTGTGTGACCACTTGTGGAACTCTGTAATAGTCTTCATCTATGCAAAAGAAGCTACTTTGATGATTGGTAACTGGCATACTTGTCTGTAAATATAAGGACCCATATTTAGCAGATAGTAATAAATTAATTTGTCTAGGGATATGGCAACCTTAAGGTTTTCTCTAAGATCTATGACCTCTCCAACCATGTGTATTTGTCTATATTTACAGTACTACACACACGCTCCCTCCCACTGGGTGGGCTTTAAGTCCAATTATGTAGCTGTTGATTACCCCCAAGATAAAAGTGCCACTATTGAACCAATAGAAATAGTTTAGTATGTCAGTCATTGTTGTAGTTATTAGGCTTTAAAGCTGGGGTTGGACCATCAATTGATGTTCTTCCTTAGACTCCTGCATCATGTCCTCCAAAACTATGAGAGCTAGTCTGCAGGGAGTTGACATTCAAGTTAGTTCCAGCTCCATTGCTCCAAGTCCTATGTATGAAGTATGTCCTGTCTTCAGCAGTAAGTCTTACCTTCAAGTTCTGGGAGGCAATCAAGGTTTGTTGCAATAGCCTGTGTAATTTTGGGAGTCTCTTGGCCTACCCTGACCAACAACTCAAAGGGAGGTTTCTCCTGTCTGGCACTGTTTCTTGTTGTATAGCCTTCAGTTATACACATGGACTCATGTAGAGATATTGTATGTGTAATTTTTCAGTAGGCCTTTGAACTAATACATTTCCCTCTTGTTTTTCATGCCAGCTAAGCATAAATTTTCCCCAATTTTTATTGAATTTCTGTGCATTTCATTTCATACATCTTAATCAAATTTAGACTCCCTTCCACAGCCCCCATAGCCCACCACCACCACCAGACACAAGATTTCAGGTACTCTGTCATATATGTTGAGTCCTATACAGTCAAGCATTTGTACCCAGATGTTTCTCAGTGTTACTAAGGAGGGAAATGGGGAAAATAGGGGTAATCAACTGGGAAGGGAAGAGTAAAGGAAAAACAAGGAATCATGAGGTAAAGGAGAAGAAGAAACTCAAGAGAGGGGCAGATAATAGGAGACAGGTGTTATCAAGGGGGAAATGAGGATACTAAAACTGGAGAAGGAGGAAGGAGGGTAGACAGGGAGAGAGAGGAGAGATTTAAAAAGGCATTTGTTATATTTTAAACATGAAGCATTGAACATGGAGGACAAACTATATGACTTTATTATTTAGTAGCTCTCATATTCTAGTTCCAAGGCCAGAAGCTTTAATACATCATTGTGGAGGGGGGTACATGTGAAAACATTCTTTGTCCCAAACCTTCCACTTACATCACTGGAGATATCTTAATAAGCCTCCTAGATGACGCTCTGAAGACAGCAAAAGTTTGAAAAGCAGAGCTTTGTAAAAGAGCCAGGCATCTACCAGCTACCCAGAAGCCTACATTATTGCTATGACTTAAGAAAAGGCTTGATTAAATATTCCCAGGAAGCTCGTCTTAAAATGTACCTTTTTTTTTTTTTTTTTGGTCTTTTTGAGATGGTGTCTCTCTGTAGCCCCAGCTGTCCTGGAACTCACTATGTAGACCAGGCTGGCCTTGAACTCACAGAGACCCATCTGCCTCTGCCTCCCAAGTGCTAGGATTAAAGGCATGTGCCACCACGCCCAGCGATATCTATTTTTAATCAGACAACACAGTATTATCATTATTATGATTATTAGTCTTATAGCTAAATTTTATCTGTTAGCTTATTGGTATAAAATAAATTCACTGTGACTGGAGAGATGGCTGAGCAGTCAAGAGCGCTGGTTGCTCTTGTAGAGGACCCAGGTTTGATTCCCAACACCACAAGGCAGCTAACAACAGTCCATAACTCCAGTTCCAGGGGATCTGACACCCTCTTCTGGCCTATGAAGACTTTACACGACAGTGGTACACTTACATACAAGCAAAAAAAACACTCATACAAATAAAAGTAAATTTTAAAAGTAATAAATAATAAGATAATAAATTGACTAACAATACTGAGTTTTGCTAGGCCCAGTGGCAGACACCTGTAATCTCAGCACTCAGGAGCCTAGGGAAGAAAGATCACAAGTTCAAGGCATATATATATATATATATATATATATATATATATATATATATATATATATATATATATATATATATTATATGTAGTGTGAGTTTGCCTGTCTCAAATAAATAAATAAATAAATAAATAAGTTGAGTTTGTTGTTCCTGTCCATGGAGAAGTATTTTGTTAGAAGACTAGAGAGAAATGGTAATCAAGTACATTGCTTATTATGAAACTTTGATGCCTGGGAATGAAATAAAGATTCACCCAAGAATCCCCAATAGTTGTATGAAGGGCATATTTGTAAGTCAAGAATCATTAAAAGTAAACAAACCTATAGATGATAGGAAATAACAAGATACAAATATTTGAAAAGTTATGTGCCTAAGAATGCAGAATGAAGGGGCTAGAGAAATGGCTCAGCAGTTAAGAACACTGGCTGTTCTTGCAGAAGACCCGGTTCATATCCCAGCAACCACATGGCAGCTAACAACTGTCCGTAACTCCAGTCCCAGGGGATCTGACAACCTCTTCTGTCCTCCACGGGCATTGCATGCCACAGGTGCACTTAGCTACATGCAGGCAATACACACATACACATAAAAATAATAAAATATTTTTTAAAAGAATGCAGAAGTAATGATTTCATGATTAAGTTATCAAAATTGAGAATTTAAGACATTTATTGCATAAATATTCTCACATGCTAGTTATCATCATAATCATCATCATTATAACCAGTCTCTGTACCACATGTTCAGGAATTTAGATGTCTTCATAAGACTTGAAGTTAGCATACAAAGTAATGGGCTTCATTATGGTATCTCCTACAAATATGTCATAATACTGTGTTCTTATTCATCTCCCTCTCCCACAGCATCTCCTGTGACCCATGCCTCCCGCTTGCTCGCCTCCTTCATCCCCACAAATACCCCTTCTGCTTCCGCATAGCATGAGTTCCATTACACTCTCTTTTCTCCCATCCCACATCCCTTATGTAGTCTTCCTCCACTTTTTTTTAAATATAGGAGTTTTACTTTTTATTGTAATAGAAATACCACCAATAATGGAAAACCTGAAGCTCTTGTTAAATTTTTAAATTATAGAGTGGTTTTGAAATGTGTATTTTGTCTGGATAATAGCATTTATTGTCCAGTAAGAAGGCTATCTCTCTTTAAGGTTATGAGAAGACAGATGATGTTTTGGAGATCTCTCTGGCTGATCAGGACTATAAGGACTATATTCATCCACCAGCCTCAGCTAACAAAATTCTGCAACAACCACAAAGTATTTCTTTGTATCAGTTGGATGGTTTGAGATATTCCAAGACTCTTGCGTATAAAAGGAGGTGGTTCCATGAGTATTTTTAAATTTTTACATTTACTTATTTAGACAGAGGGTATGGAAAGAGTGAGTGTGGGTATGCCGCAGTGCACATGTGGAGATCTGAGAACAACTTGTGAGAGTTACACCTCTTTGTTCACCATGTAAGACCCGGGGGTTGAATTCAGATTATTGGGCTTCGTGGCAAGTGTCCTTTAGCTGCTCAGCTATCTTGTTAGCCCTCAAAGATTCTTGAGCTTTTTAGATTTTGGGGATGTTTTCATTTTTTTGATCTGTTTATTTTTATTTTGTGTATGAGTGTTTTGCCTGCACGTATGTAAGTGCACCCGTGCTGTGAAATGCCTGCAGAGGACAGAAGTGGGCATTAGATGCCCTGGAAATGGAGTTATGGATGGTTGCTGCAATGTGGGTGCTGGGATTTGAACCTGGGTCTTCTACAAAGGCAGCCAGTGCTCTTAACCACTGAGCCATTTCTCCATCCCTGAGCCTTTTAGATTTTTTTGTTGTTTGTTTTTTAAACAGTTGTTCCATCTGTGTGAGAATGTGTTAAAGGCTTGGCTTGGAGGCACTGAGGACATTTTCCTTTGTGTTACGTCCCCACAACTGACTATTCTGGTTAGAGTCTACCTTGTAGAGTCTCCATGACCTCTTTGAACAAGAGGACAAATAATTCACCATGGCTACAGGACATTTTGAGAGATGTGCCATAGCCCCCTGGAACCTAGTTGGCTTTGAAGAGCAAAGGACAAAATACAGTCCCTTTTAAT